GCCTGGAGCCTGTTTCCGATTCTGTGTCTCCCTCTCTCTCTGCCCCTCTCCCGTTCATGCTCTGTCTCTCTCTGTCCCAAAAATAAATAAAAACGTTGAAAAAAAAAAAAAAAAGAAAAGTAAAAGAACAGTCTGTACTTAGAGAAACTAAATTTTTCAAACTCCTCATGTATTTTATTAGCCAGTTTTATGTCACTAAAATCATCCAGTCACTTATTCAATTTTTGTTTATTCAGGGGGATTCAAGCACATGAGAAATGAATGTGCTACTTCCTGTTCTGGCAACATGGACTGAGCACAGAACTTCCTTCTTCTTCAAATATATAGAAACACTGGATAAAATATGATCAAGCCCAATTTAAATACTTAGCTAAGCTTGAAACAGAGAGAGAGAAGATAAGAAAAAAAGAAAAGCTCTGGGTACTAGAAACAAAGGGGAGGTGTAACCAGAGCATTAAGTGGGCAAGCTGATACTGTAGTTGCTCAGGGGCATATTGGAACCAGATGTAGGCTCTACTAGCTAGAAAGTGGGGTTTTTATCTAAGACATGGACAGCAATGTGGCCTTGGGTCAAGAGAAATGGGAACTAGAAAAACTGTCCACCTGGTCAGGAAGGCCACAATGAAGCTTATCATTTTTCAGAGCTACCTTTGGGAGGAGTCTCACAAAAAATCAAAACTCTAAACCTCTACCAGGCATGGCTACAAAGTTTGAGTACACACTAGCTATATGGTACAGGAATCCTAAGCCAAGAAATTAATTTAAAAAAGAATGACTTCAGACCAATGGAACTCCTAAATTGCCTGGTAGAAACAAATGTGAAAGTTCTCTGTAGAAATTCTTACACAATCCTGCGGTGCCTAGGATTCCTATGGAGCATGATGGAGATGAAGCTCTAGCTCAAGATAAACTCACAATCAAAAATTAGAAAACACAGAGAGAAATGATAAGCCTAAGAAGAGAGAAAGAAGACATAACAGAAAGATACCCAAGAAGAATCTGAAAGATACAATATAACAAGTGTATTTTAAATAATTAAAAGAGATTTTTAAATCATGAAATATCATAATAAAAGACTAAGGCTATCACTGGGGCTCTTGGGTTACTTAGTCGGTTAAGTGTCTGACTCTGGATTTCGGCTCAGGTCATGATCTCATGGTTCATGAAATCGAGCCCCACGTTGGGCTCCATGCTGACAGCACAAAACCTGCTTGGGATTCTCTCTCTCCTTCTCTCTCTCTGCCCCTCCCCTGCTCACGTGCTCACTCTCTCTCTCTCTCTCAAAATACATAAATAAACTTAAAAAAAGAAAATAGTAAGGCTATCAAAAGAGCAGGTGAATTTGAAGAACAAAATAGAATATCTAAAAAATACATATATACTTATTAAAATCAATGGCTCAGTTTATGTCTTAAAACTAAAAACTTAAAACAGTTTATGTCTTAGATACAACTAAACAAAGAATTAGTGAACTGAAATATAAAACTAAGGAAATTATTCAGAGTATACCACTGGCAAATCAAAATGAAAAATTAACGTTCTGTGATTATTCATAGTTGATCATATTATAAAGAGAAGTACTTTATAGTAATGTGATATAGTCAGTTAGGAAATATAAGAGTTGACCAGATTTTTCACACAGTTGGGTTTGTGCAGCAAATGTTATTGTGTTAGAAAATCTCTTATCAGTTGTATTTCTATACACCAATAATGAAGCAACAGAAAGAGATATCAAGGAATAGATCCCATTTAAAATTGTACCAAGAATCATAAAATACCTAGGAATATACCTAACCAAATAGGTAGAAAATCTGTACACTGAAAACTAGAGAAAGCTTATGAAAGAAATTAAAGAAGACACAAACGAATGCAAGAACATTTCATGCTCAGGGAAGAGAAGAACAAATATTGTTAAAATGTTGATACTACCCAAAGCAATCTATACATCCAATGCAATCCCAATAAAAATAGTACCAGCATTCTTCACAGAGCTAGAACAAATGATCCTAAAATTTGTATGGAACCACAAAAGACCCTGAATAGCCAAAGTAATATTGAAAATGAAAACCAAACCTGGAGGCATCACAATCCTGGACTTCACACTCTATTACAAAGCTGTAATCATCAAGACAGTATTGATGGTATTGGCACAAAAAGAGACACACAGACCAATGGAATAGAACAGAGAAACCAGAAATGGACCTACAAATGTATGGCCAACTGATCTTTGACAAAGCAGGAAAAAGTATCCAATGGAAAAAAGACAGTCTCTTTATCAAATGGATAGGAAAACTGGACAGTGACATGCAGAAAAATGAAACTGGACCACTTTCTTACACCATACACAAAAATAAATTCAAAATAGATAAAGACCTAAATGTAACACAGAAACCATCAAAATCCTAGAAAACAGGCAACAACTTCTTTGATCTTGCCCACAGCATCTTCTTACATGTCTTCGAAGACAAGGGAAATAAAAGCAAAAATGAACTATTGGGACTTCATCAAGGTAAAAAGCTTCTGCACAGCTAAGGAAACAATCAACAAAACTAAAAGGCAACCAACAGAATGGGAGAAGATGTTTGCAAATGACATATCAGATAAAGCGTTAGTATCAAAAATCTACAAAGAACTTAACGAACTCAACACCTGGAAAACAAATTATCCAGTGAAGAAATGGGCAGAAGATATGAGTAGACACTTTTCCAAAGACATCCAGATGACCAACAGACACATGAAAAGATGCTCAATAGTGTAATCATAAGGGAAATACAAATCAAAACCACTTTGAGATACCACCTCATACCAGTCAGAGTGGGTAAAATTAACAACTCAGGAAACAACCGATGTTGGTGAGGATGTGGAGAAAGGGGAACCCTCTTGCACTGTTGGTGGAAATGCAAACTGGTGGAGCCACTCTGGAAAACAGTGTGGAAGTTCCTCAAAAAATTAAAAATAGAATTACTCTACAACCCAGCAATAGCACTACTAGTAATTTATCCAAAGGACACAAGAGTACTGATTCATAGGGGCACATGTACCCCAATGTTTATAGCAGTGGTATGAACAATAGCCAAATTATGGAAAAAATCCAAATGTCCATCAACGGATGAATGGATAAAGAAGATGTGTGTAGGGGCGCCTGGGTGGCGCAGTCGGTTAAGCGTGCGACTTCAGCCAGGTCACGATCTTGCAGTCCGTGAGTTCGAGCCCCGCGTCGGGCTCTGGGCTGATGGCTCAGAGCCTGGAGCCTGTTTCCGATTCTGTGTCTCCCTCTTTCTCTGCCCCTCGCCCGTTCATGCTCTGTCTCTCTCTGTCCCAAAAATAAATAAACGTTGAAAAAAAATTAAAAAAAAAAAAAAAAAAAGAAGATGTGTGTATACACACACACACACACACACACAATGGAATACCACTCGGTGGTAAAGAAAGAATGAAATCTTGCTGTTTGCAACAACATGGATGGAACTGGGGTGTATTATCCTAAGTGAAATAAGTCAGTCAGAAAAAGACAGTTATCCTGTTATCACTCACATGTGGAATTTGAGAAACTTAACAGAATACCATAGGAGAAGGGAAGGAAAAATAAGTTACAGAGAGGGAAGCAAACCATAAGAGACTCTTAAATTTGTTCTCTGTAAAACAAACTGAGAGCTGATGGGGGTGGAGGGTTGGGGAGGGACAGGGAAAATGGGTGATGAGCACTGAGCAAGGCACTTGTTGGGATGAGCACTGGGTGTTGTATGTAAGTGATGAACCATGGGTATCTATTCCTGAAGCCAAGACTATACTGTATATACACTCTATGTTCACTAACTTGACAATAAATTATTTAAAAAAATGGGGAGCCTGGGTGGCTCAGTCAGTTGGGCGTCTGACTTCGGCTCAGGTCATGTCTTGCTTGGTTTGTGAGTTCAAGTCCCGCATCAGGCTCCATGCTGACAGCTCGGAGCCTGGAGCCCCCTTCAGATTCTGTGTCTCCTCTCTCTGCCCCTCCCATGCTCATGCTCTGTCTCTCTGTCTCTCAATAATAAATAAATGTTAAAAATAAAAAATAAAAATAAATAAGTAAAATAAAATAAATTATTTTTTAAAAAGATGTGAAATAAAAGTATGTTGATATAGTCAAAAAAAAAAGAAAAAATCTCTTGAACAAAATAGCTAATTGTTAATACACTGCATGTTAATAACATTCTTAAAACTCTATAACAAAAAAGCAAGCAGCAAACCAAGATTTCAGTAGAAAGATTACTTGCATTCTTGATTACATCAGCTCCTCTTGGTTTACCATCCAAAAATAATAAGAGATAGGTTGTTGAGTGTTTGTTTTAAGTCACAAATTTTCATTAATTTGTGTGCATGTAAGTTAATGTAAAAAAAAATTTTTTTTTTTTAGGCAAAACTCTGTTGTGTTAACCCAGATGTTAACTAATCTTCATAGGGAATTATTGCAGGATCAAATCTATAAATTGGTTTTCTAATTTCTAACTTAGTAACAATTATTTTTATCTGCTTCTGATTACTGTCCTGAGTTATTTGCTAGATATATTAATTTTTTATGATGACATCAAATTGAACTTGTGTATTTGTTGTTGTTATTGTTGTTTTAACTGGGGAACAAAAGTGGTAGGTAATTGGAAAATCAACCAATACTGGAAGATTATATAAGGCAGGAGAATAATGTAAAATGGCATTGCTGAATTTTAGGAAAATCTTAATTATTTTTAAAGTGAGATAGCTAATTTATAGTCAAACAAGTGAGAACTACAATAGTACAATATATAATGAAGATGTTTATAAAATTGGTTGATAAATTAACACCAGTCACTTTCTAGTGTAGGTAATAGTTGTGGAGCTGGTGGCATTTATTGGTTTGATTTTTAAATGGGTGAGAACCAATCCCAGGTTTTGACCTCATCTTCTGTAATAAGCATAAATGTTAATATGAAACCACCCAGCGTTTTTACTATTTATTCTAAGAACATTCTATTATTCTTCAGAAGAAGAAACTGCTCCTGATGGTGCTGTTGCAGAATACAGAAGAGAAAAGCAAAAGTATGAAGCTCTGAGGAAGCAACAGGCAAAGAAGGGAACTTCCCGGGAAGACCAGGTAATGTCACAAACCAAAATCCATATGTAATTCATTGCCTTTTAATTGTCTTTAAGTGCTGCTAATGGAGCCTAATATGATTGTACATTGGGAAAGCACTACCTCTTAAAAATGAAAAAGGATATATTCGTTTAGGGTGGGATGACAAGGACCTTAGCCATTCATGTTCTTTCCAGACATTACAGGAAAAAGCCTAAAACTTTCAGGTTTCAACCTTGTGCTCCCATATCAAGCATAGGAATCTTGCAAAACCACATATTAAATGATGAAGAGATCTCTTCTAGCACAGTATCTTACACGCTGACTAGCCAACTCTGCTTGAAGTTGTACACTGCCTGTAAATAAGGCAGTATTGTAAATAATATTGCAGAACTCTGCTTATTGTAAGTAATTTCTGAATCTTTAAGAATAAGATTGTTAGAAATAAGAAAAAACTATTTCAACAATTTGAAAGTCAGTTGTACACACCATATAACACTTAGCAATCGAAATAAATCTCCAGCAACCCTTCATATTGAAAAGCTAGGGTGAAGGCAAAAACCATTTATTTTTGGTGCTGCCATGTATACATATATGTGTGTGTGTGTGTGTGTGTGTGTGTGTGTGTGTGTGTGTGTGTATGTACATATATATACATATACACATATACATATACATGTATATATATATGGCTATATATGGCAGCACCAAAAATAAATGGTTTTTGGTGTATATATATATATTTGAGAACAAGCTATTTTAGGTGTATAAATAAAATAGGCAAAATAAAAGTAAATTAAAAAGCCCAAGTGTATTTGAATAATTTGAATAACTTAATATAATCAGGGACTATATTATAAATTGCACCTAATTACTGGTAAAGAAGGATCATACATCAGTGATTACCATGAAAATAACCATAGGGAAAGTTCAGTAAGAAATCAGGTATAGGAAATTGTAATTATAGAGAACTAATTTGAGCAATTTTCAAAAGAAATGACACATCAAATGAAATTAAGAAAAAGTACATTATTAACTTGATTTCATGGAGTCCAAAGCCCTTTGAATAGCAACTACAGTCAATTTACTACCAGAGATACCCTAGGGATCATTTTTTCATTCTTATTCATTCTTCTTTTTTGCCTCCTAGCAAATAATTATTTAGAACCTACCATGTACTAATCACTGTATTCGGTGTTAAACAAGGTGGACACATCCCTGTCCTCTTGGAGCTATTAGGGAAAAGAGCCAGTTAAACAAGTAATGCCAATAAAAGAAGGTGAGCATTCTGACAGGTTAAGTATAGAGAACTATGTAAATGTGTAACAGTAGGACTAAACATGGACTAAGAATCTAGGAAGGCCTCCCTGAGAAAATGATTGGTCAATTGGACTTTGAAAGTTGAATAGGAGACAGGTGGCCAGACAAAGGAAGAGTATATAAGAAATGTTGGATCTCTTTGCAAAGAACTATAAAAGATGTTAAATATGGACTATACCAAAGAAAGATGATGCTGGAGAGGGAAGCAGAAACCAACTCATGCAAGGCACTTTTGAGCTATACTTAGAAATTTATATTTACCCTAAGGGCAGAGGGGAGCCATTGAAAGAAGGAGATGACATAATCTCATTTGCACTTTGGGAAGATTCCTCCAATCTGGCTGTGGTATAGAGACTATACTGGACCCAGAGCAGGACTAGAGGTGTAGAGACCAGTTGAAGAGACTCTTCTGTGTAGGTATGCATGCATGAAGTTTGCCAAGGCAGGACCTCTTCAAAACAGTTTCCTCCTACTAGGAAGACTCTCACTGTGTTGAAGAGCCATGCTGTAAGTAGTTAGCCATTCACTCCTTCAGAAGACCCACTCCCCTAGAGATGCTGAACAGAAATGCCCCTATGCAAATCCTATCTTCTTCACCATATGTTGTGCCCCATTATTTTTGTGACGTTTGCTTTACTGCCTAGTGTCTTCTGCCTTTAGAACGCAGCTAGAAAAAGTTCAATCACAAATACAGGAGAAGCTAAGAAAGGCCAAGAGGATGTTTTGTTACAGTCCTCTTTCTTTGAGCAAATGCCAGTAGCACATTAATTGTCCCTAAAAACAGACTGCCTTGCCACTTTCAAAACTCAAGGAAAAAGATCTAGGTCTAGCATAATTTTCTAGGAAGCTTTTAAATTTCATTCCACTAAGAAGTCTCCTTTGTTTTCATTTTTCTTTATGTTTTTGGAAAAGACATTTCCAAGTGTACAAAGGTCCACCATTAAAAAAATTAATGGGGTTTACTTTTAAGCTATAGATAGACACAGAAATACATTTTTAGAGATATATTTTATATAACATATATATAGATATATAAGCTCATACACATACACAAAAATAAAAAACACCTAAAAAGCCTTGAAGGATATATACCAAAATGTCAAAAATTGTTATTCTGAGTGATGGAATAATAGATAATTTTGTTCTGCTTCTCCTTATTTTCTAATATTTCTAAATTAAACTTTTCCTTATTATAAAGCAAATATAAGAAAAGTTTGTAAGCAAAAGGGTTTTTTAACAAATAAGTTTTAAAAACAAGGGATGTCTTCTTTTTTTGTTAACACTGTTTGAAGAGCTTAATCTTTTAATTACTACTCTGAAAACAGACAAAATACCTAACCCCAATGCACTAGGAGCCCTCTGAATGCCCGTGAGGATATTCTGTAGGAATTTAGTGTTTCCCCCAAAACTTGTCTCATTTCCAAGTGGACGCTATGGTAATGTGTATATTTTCATCTGTTGTGCATGTGGGCATTAAAATTTCCAGAACTTATAAAGTATATAAGGCACTTTCACTATCATTTCTAGCAGTAACTGCCTTTGTTTCTTGTACCATCTGTCTTTATTGAGCTTCAGTTCTAGACCACCAAAACCTTCTTAATTTTTCCATGAACTGTGGTCTCAGTGGTATTTCTTAGATAAATTACAGAGCCTAGCAATTTATTGTGATGCCGTATTGTACTTGTTATTCACATACTGAACTATCATACCTCTGTTTCCTTGTGAAATATGAGTATTTTAATACTGAATTCAATGTGCTAGTCTCTTAATTAGTCATTTGATTTTTTTGGACAGGTAGTACTTCACCCCATTTCACAAGTATTTACTTTTTTAAACTGTAGAATAAAAATATTTTTTCCAGCTTTTGTTCTCTACTCATGTTCTGGAGGTAAGCTGAGTATTAATTACAAAACTATAGACACTTGTTGTTTGTTACCCGCGAAGGACATGGGAGACAAACAAGAACCACAGAAATCGTGCCCTTTTCTTAAAAATCTACTGAACATGGTATTTACGTCCCACTATCTTTAACAACGGAATGTAATGCTCTTGTATATACTTTTTAACAATGTAATACTATATTCATTACTTTTTACAAAATATATCTAGTTCATTACTGATAGATATTAACATGTTTTCATTTTTCCATTTGTAGGGATATGGCTGCAGTGTACATCTTTTCCATAAGCCATTTTTGGTTTCATACTATTTTTCTTCATGTATTCCCAGGATTGAAGTGATGAGTCAAAGGGAATGATCACCTTAAAGTTTTGACAAATTTAAATAGCTTTTTAAAATATCACTCCAATTTACCCATCTTCCACCAGTTAATGTGTTTATTCATTTTACCTTCCTTGCCATTGATATTTTTACATTCTTGGAAATTTGTTCAATGACAAATACTATTTGTTATTGGTGTTTTATTTTGTGATTTCTCATATTTTAGTGAAGTAGCTCCTTGTCTTGTGGACCTTAAAAATTAGTCATTAACAAGCATGCATTTTAAAGCTTAAGTGTCTTCTATATAAGCAAACTTATGTTCCCCAAATCAGAAACTGTCACATATGCCTGAGGGAAAATGTCAGTGCAAATGTAAACAGGGCATTGTCGAGGTTCATAGAATAATCACTACTTGAGTTTTGTTATTTTCCTTCAAAATTAAAAATTCATCTAAGTCTTAGTGTTTCAAATTTTTTCTACCAAATTTCAGTGTCTCTTCTAAAATTATATTTATCCTTATCAGAAAACTTAGCCATGTAATCATTATTTCAGACCCTGGCGCTGCTGAACCAGTTTAAATCTAAACTCACTCAAGCAATTGCTGAAACTCCTGAAAATGACATTTCTGAAGCAGAAGTAGAAGATGATGAAGGATGGTAAGGGCTTTGATTTCTCTGTATTAACCATGAACAAATAGGCTCAGAGCAGAGGTACTATTAGGATATTAGGACATTTCCACTATGTCGTCTTCTCCCCTCACCCCCAGACTTCACCTTTAATCACACCTTCACCATTATAGAGCCTCAGCATCTTTTGACTTCATTTCACTTCCATAAGCATTTATTGAGTGCTTGGTGTGTTCCCAGTATTGTGCTAGCCAGTGGAAAATATACAAGACATATATGACACTCTCCCTGTCCTAAATAACTTTCTAATATTGTAGAAAAGATAAGATTCACATTAAACAGCTAGAAAGCAGCCTCAAAAGATTCTAAATCATTTATTTTTTACACTTTCCCACAAACATTTTAGGACTCAGTAATACATTTCATAATCCTACTAAGTTCCTCTTAAAATTTATGACCTACAGGATCCTAGCAATCATACACAGTCAACTTTTTTTTTCTTTGGCTGTCTTTCAGCTTTTTAAGACACTGATAAGAAATAAAGGAATTAATGACTTGTACATGTCCTGTGCTTAACACTTTATCCTATACTGGCAAAAAGGAAAAAAAAAAAAAAAAGGAATAAGAATTGTGCTTTCCCTTATCACACTCCTCTGTCCTCCAGTTGACTTCACATGTAGTATATTAGGACTCCCCACACCTAACTGCCCTCACCTCCCACTACACCCTGGCTCAAGCACATTAAGGCAAGCAAGCCAAAGGGTCACCCCCCACATATGACTCACCCTCTGGAGCCTCTGAACTGTCACATGTGCCATTACCCCAACCCAGAATCATAGCCTCACTCCTCTCTGCCAGACGGCATCTCTCTCCTATTTCAAAACTGCTCAACACTCCCATCCTCCAGGAAACCAGTCAGCAAGATTTGTTGAGCACTCACAAATCTAGAGGGTGGAGGAAAGAGGGCTGGGACACACATTTAAAAAGACATAAAAACACTTATTAAGAAAACATTTAAGCAAGTAGGATTCTGCAACTATATACAACTTTAATCAAAAGGACTGAGGGGATGATGATTTGAATGGAATGAATCCTACCTCCCCTAGGACCCTGAAATGCTTATATATTTCTCAAAATATAATTTCTGTACGATCTAGGTTATGTACTTTTTTAACCCTGAGACTCTTTTAATTGGTTTCTATTACTTATATGTACTTATTTATACTTAAATTCAAAGTTGCTTAAAGGCAGAAGCTGGCTCCTCCCACAGTTGTGTGCCAAAGGTGAAGGCTCAGTGAGTGTTGACTGACCCTTAGAGATAAATGCACATTACATAGAAGAATTTTCTGTTTTTTTATATGACTGGACAGGTTTAGTTTTATTTTGGATTCCCTGAATGTCTCAAAATATCTTTCAAATGTTTTGGGTTCAGCCACCACACAAAAAAAATGTTTTGCCAAGTCCTCTTCCCCTTATTTTTGAATCCATATGCATTTTTTAAGGAAAGATGATCCATGTGTTTCTGATTCATTTACACTTAACTCATCAAGATGATGTTTTGTAAGAGCAGTTTGATGCCCAATAAGTTTTTTTAACCTTTTTATAAGCCATTTAAGTCCTTTTTTATTGAACAGGAAAGTCACCAACAAATTTAGACCCAGAAATTTCATTTGAAACTCATAACACACAGGATTCAAATTTACTTTTAACTTGGCAAGACCATTTAACTTCCCAAGGTTCTTCCGAGCCACTTGGTTCCGAATTCTCTCACTGTGAATTCCTCATTAGCTGCAGATGTCAATCAGTGTTTTTAAAATTGTCATTCTTGCTTTTGATGTGATTTCACAGTACAGTCTATGTTCTAACATCCTCATTAGAAAGTAAACAAATAGGAGAACTTTACCAGATGGTAAAATCGCTGGTCAGTGATGTTGACCAGTTCTCCATTTGGGGAACAAAACTAAGTGGAAAAGGAAGGGTAAGTATGTTAAAGACTTACCAGGTCTTCTGGGGGTTCATTTCTACTTTCAATTACAGTCTCCTAAACAGAAAGTCAGAACTATACACTATGTACCTACACATTTTTTGTATTTGTTTTATCTAACATCTAGTAAAAAATACCTTTAGTGTTTCAAGGCACTACACAGAATCATACAGAATACATGGGACTATTTTATTGCAATATAGACTATTGAAATTTTGTAACCTGATAAGCAACAACATCCTGTCTGTTCATAAATACACCCGTTCAAGTTTATCAGGTCTCTAGTGATTTAGACCATCACTCATAAAGTATATTCCACTCAGAAAAGAAGTCTTATATTAAAAGTGATTTATGGCAAATATTATGAGTGCATGGCATGTGCATGTGTGTTATGCATAAATTACATGGTTACCAGACTATTTTGTAGGTCACGGTTACCGCTTTTCTAAGAAGTGAAAGTCAGCCAGTACTGTACTACACTGTCAAGGTCTGTTATCTGAGGTAAAATGATTGCTTCTCAGACATTTTTATGTGTCCGCATGAGTGACCACACATTGAGGGATCATTTTCATTTTCTGTCAAGATAGAAACCATTACCAATTTGTTATGTTTTCTTTTACTTGGCAAACTTTCGGTTCGCATTTTTGGCTAAGCTGCTGTATTGGCATGGTATACAACAGACATTTGGGTACCATTCAGCAGCATTCTACTTTTTTATGCAAAAAAAAAAAAAAAAAGTGGGAGGGGGAAAAGAAAAGAAATATGATTCTATTGTAAACACTGTATATGGTGTTTGATAATTACTCCCAGATTTCACTGTCTAACAAGGCATTTAAAGAAGTGTTATTAGTAGATCTAAGCTGAAATGCATGATAGAAATTTTTCACTCAAAATTATTAAGATTCTTCCTTTGTTGGGATATATACTGCCAGTATTTGGTGGCAGTGATGGCTCCCAGACTCCAGTGTAGCAGCTAAAGTAGCCTCTTTGCCACTACATTCCTTCTTCCCACAGCATCACACTCTTATAGCTATAGAATCTTTCTTCAAGCATGGGTTTTATAAAACCATTAGATACATGGCAGGAATCATCAGCGACCAGATTCATATGACCATGTGGATGAGGTCCATATGCCATTTTGGGTTTGGTTAGATAAAGCTTGGTTAGCTCCCAAAAAAGTTTTGTGAGAGCTGTTTCTGACAAGATAGAAGAGAGACATAAAAAAGAAAGCCACCTGCTCCTACAGAACAAAATCAGCATTCCAAGGAGAGGAGAAAAATTAAATCTATGAGAGTAGAATGTGATCTTGTGAACATTTAACTATTTACTACTATGTTCCATTCAAATGTTTTTCCAGGTTAATCTAAGATTAACCTAATACTTTGCAACAAATATATATGATAAAATAATAAACCATATAAAGGTCTATCTGCCTTCCTCCCTCCTCTTCTCATCTCTCTCCCCTCCACCACTTTCTCATAGTACATACAGTATTCAGTATTCTAAGAATTAGAGAATACTTATTTTTACTATATAAAGAAAAGATGTTCACTATACCAAAACCAGATTACGGACACCTCAAAAAAAGTAAATAATAATCACCTGTGATCCCAAACTCAACAATAAATATCATTAATTTATATACTTCCAGATATTTTTATGCCCATGCACATTTTAGGCAGAAATGAAATCATATAATGCTATAATCTTATAACTTGCTTTCAGCTTTTAGCAATATATAGCAAATATAGAAAAGTAAATACTTTTCCTTGCCATACATAATTTTATGTTTAATTTTTATATTTTTGTATTAGGCCACATAGTATGCCATTATAAAATAAACCACAGTTTCCTTGATCAGCCCCATGTTTTTGGATATTTAGGCTCTTTCCAGTTTGTTTTTTTAGTGTTTATTTTTTTTTTTTGTTTATTTAATGTTTTGTTTATTTGTTTTAATGTTTATTTATTTTTGAGACAGAGAGAGACAGAGCATGAGTGAGGGAGGGGCAGAGAGAGAGAGGGAGACACAGAATCCGGAGCAGGCTCCAGGCTCTGAACTGTCAGCACAGAGCCCGATGCAGGGCTCGAACTCACGGACTGTGAGATCATGACCTGAGCCAAAATCAGACACTTAACCAACTAAGCCACCCAGGCGCCCCTCCAGTTTACATGTATTATACACAACACTGTAATGAACATCCATGTATCTTCATCATTGCCAGTTTTCTCCAGATCAATTTCCAAAACTGGAATTCCTTAGTCAGTGGGTATGCATATTAGGCTTCTGCTAAATATTTTCATGGCCCTCCCAAAATGTCATTCCAGTCTATACTCCCAAATATCATTTTTATGACTTGCTTTTAGGGCTGTTAGAATCTCAAGAATTAATTAAGGTACTTTGCAGTACTTACTGAAAGAGAATAACGTTTCCAAAAACATGTTTTGCCTTTGTAAAGTTTTTAAAAATACACAGTCTGGTTTGCTTCTGTTTTTAATAAAACTAGTACACATTTCATCATAACTCTTCAAGATCCTCAGGTTTAAATGGTTTTGTTCTTGGTTCTGAAAAAAATATCCTTCTAAGATAATCTTATTGGTTAGGACTTTTGGATCTGGATTCTTTTTTTGTTTTTGTTTTTCAGTTTTATTACTGCACCTTGGCTTGCATTAAAAATCACTTTGTCCATCAGTCATTGTTTGTGCTAGAGATTAGAGTTTGAGAACCAGATTTAGCATGAGGTAGTTTTCAAGTGTTCTTCAGGAGTTAGCATAGCATAGAAGCAATAAAAACCAGTTGTCTGAGTATTCAAAACTGTGAAAATTTAATAATGCAGATGTAAAAGAAAGTATTGACTGTTAGGTCCATTCAGACCTCATTATAAGATACCATTAAAGGACATAGCTTCACTTCATTGGCAAAGCTTTAAATACCTTTTATATATAATAAATACTGTAATTTGTATGAGGTTTATCATGTATTGAGTGAAGGGTACAATGACTACAAAGGAACATTGTAATTATAGTCTCCACTTCATTCAATCAGGAC